AGCCCTGCCATGTCTCCAGCACTGGGGGCTGGATTTAACCTGTGACTGCTCTTGTCAATTATGGTCCACCTGTAGCTAATGCCTCATTAGCCAGGTATAAGACACTGCCTGAGGGCAGTGTCTGTTCATTGACTCTGGTTCCTGTGTTGGTGTTTGTGTTCCAGTGTTCTCCAGTTGTCTCCTGACCTTGGCCTTCTATTCGTTTATCCTGACTTCAGGCACCCTCTGACCTTTGGCTTACCCACAACGATTCTCCTGCTTGTGTCCATACCTGTACTGTGACTTGGAGCATTATCCTGCATAGCCCCCGTGCACAGACTCACAGGCCAGGTGAATTCTTACCTGACCACATTGGCCTGTGTTTAATTGCAAGGGTGAGCATATATCTCGGTATACCGGACTCCTGCTAAGGTAAAAAAATTTCTTATTTATGGTCCCCACCCACCGCGCAGGGGTGGGGGCTGGGTGGGAGGACAATAGGCCCTCCTTATTTGTATTTAGGGCCCCCACCCGCCACTCAGGGGTGGGGGCTGGGGGGGGGGGCAATAGGTCCCCCCTTTAGTTTAAAAACCCACACTCGCGCGTCGAGGGGGAAATGTATTTATTTTTTAAATATAATATATAAGGCTGCTCACTGTTTAATAAACGTGCCCCTACTAGCTGGGTCACATGCTGCACTGGCCAATCACAGCCATGCCATTAGTAGGCATGGCTGTGATGGCTTCTAAGGGCACATGAGTCAAACGCTTGTTGATTGGCTGCCCTGCAGCCTTTCAAAACGCGTCATTAAATCACTGAACACCAAACTCCAACCCAAACATACAGTGATATGTCCGTGTACGGGTCTGGGGTCCAAAAACCGTAATGTCCTTGTGACTTTTCAGTTCGGGTTTGCTCAACTCTAGTGGGTACAGAAAATGAGTATGAGGAAAATTACAGCTAAACACAAACACCGCAGACATTTAAAAACAGCCCTGTTCCCTAAAATTGAAAACCGGTCTGGTCACTAAAGGGTTAAAGAGGTGAACATTACCTGCATTGGATTTGTGAATAGATAGAATCAATGATATTTGAACAATCCAGATAACTGTTGAAGTGGACATTCTATAAAACAAAATAAGAACACATTAGATATTCTTTAAACAGTTAGAATGCCTTCACTTCCATATTGATCAGTGTGCAATGTTCAAAAGTGCATAACATATATTTTACAATTTTCTTTTCAAAGTTCCAATTAAGTTTCCTACTAACTCATTAGTTTTTGCATTGAACTCTAAATCCTTCAAACATATTTATCTAAAAACAGACAGAAAATTGTTTATAGATCCAAAATAGTAAGCACGTTTTTTAAATAATCTGTTGAATTTAAATTGGGTTTATGTAACAGTAAGTTCTTCTTGAAGCCCTCTGCTGCCTTTAATAGGACAGCCTTACACAATAATTAATTTTAATGTAGGTAAAATGTCTTCTTGTGCTATTTTTAGCGGTGGGAAGGCAAGCGAAAAACACCGTGGGGGAAGGTTGCAAGGCTAAAGGGATACGAACTGGCTCGCCAAGATAAAACTGGGCCTATACCGTGCCAGCACAGGAGCCTGTTCCAGTACCTCACACATCCAAGCCAACACCGATTCCATATGATGGAGGACTCATACTCACAGGTTCAAGGGGGGTTGGTAATTGGGAGAGGGTCAGAACATAGGGGGTCTGTGGGGGGGAATTAGGTACGAGGACGACACACATACAAACGTATACACACACATAATGGGTAACACGAAGCCGATAGGGGCTAGGGAGCCGGGACTCTAGACCGGGGAACCTGGAATTTGGGGGGGGGATGGGGGGACTGTGGGACACTCATATTAGCTTCCTGGTACCACTTAAGCATAGATGCGGGGGAGGCAATTGAGCTTAACGGGAACGCTACTACCCTTCACCCCCCCACATCTAGGTGAAACCACATAAGGGCATGTAAGGGAGGGATGAGGTGCAGGCATACATGTTAATTGGATGGTGGGGTTCCGCTAATGTACCCAATTGTATATATGTTATATTGGATGGTGGGGTTCCGCTATTGTACCCAATTGTATATATGTTATATGCTCCATGTGGAAAAGAAGTATACCTCAATGTATGACATGCATATGAGCTGGACGGCCCTTTACACCTCTTACAAAGATGCCACTTCTGGGCTACAAGGAAGCGACCCCCGCCCCTTCTTCCACTCCACCCTACACCCGAGAGCCTCATGATACACGCAATATGATGAGGCAATACCTTACATACGCTCCCAACCCCAGGCCCGGATTTGATACATCATAGATACTGGCCCCGGCCATTGCTAACCGATGGTGTAGGACCATAATACACCCGACCACTTATCCGCTCGAATACACAACACTGTATGACCCCCCCGACCAACAACGCACAGCTCCACAACCCAAAATTGACCCACGTTACCCTGGGGGACGGGGGCACAATTTTGTGACATGCTAGAACGAGACATTGACTCCCGCCTCCACACCATAGCCCCTTTGTAGACTGCGAATGGCGATACTATTGATAGCGGCTGGCGACCCTAGCTACGCTAAGATGGGCAAAGACGACATTCAAACACTTTCAAAGAGGTGGCACACCCGTTAGGTAACCTCGGACTCTGGTATCTAATACAACCTATAGAAGACACATTCTAACATATAAAACGCAAGGACACAACCACTAACCCCCGACAAGTTCGCGTGAACAATCCCACTCCACGGGGAGTTGGCAGTTGGAAGCCGTGAGACTCTGTCTGACAGGCCCGACTGCCGACTGCTGCCGTGGTCACGCGAACCAGCCCTCCTAGGAGGGACTTTTGACACCTATCCATAGGTGCCGATACCACCTCCTTCTGGAGGTGGAGAACTTATCTTCTCTCTCATACCCCAGCCTGTTCCTACGGACAGGTAGGGGCTTATCTTTACCCCACGTCTACCCCACTTTACTTTCCTGCCTCACCTCCCCCACTCTTCTGATCCAACCCCTCAGCCTCCCCCCCACCCTTACTACTCCCTTCCCATTGCCACAGCAACTGCGGACCCACCACGGAGAGGGGATACCACTGGGCAATAGACTTCTTTGAAGTACCAACAAACCACTAAAGTCCGTAGCGACCCACTCACGACCAACATAAATGGCCTACGAACCAGATCCCTTACGGATTACGACCATGAACTGCCGGGGCCTCGATATTCCGGAGCGCAGGTCGCAGCTCATACGGGATCTATCCTCTAGACACATATCCGTTGCCTTCCTCCAGGAAACGCATTTTAAGGAAGGAAATGCCCCGCTGCTGAAAGGCAAAAACGTCCTGTAGCAACCACCCGACCGCCCGCAAGGCAGGGGTAGCGATCCTCCTCCATGCTAAGCTACAGTTCCAAGAAACAGACCGAATGACCGACCCCAATGGCAGATATATATTCCTCAAAGGAGATATACAAGACCGTAGGTATACATTCGCGACGATCTACGTGCCGAATAATAATCAATCACACTATATCCGCAAAACCCTTCTCAGACTTTCCTCATTTACGGAGGGCACATTTACGGACTCATCCACTGGACACAGCAGCGTTGCCCAGGGAGCTCTGCGCAGCATACAGAAGTCACTTAAGAACCTTCGACTAGTAGACTGCTGGCGCGCTATGCACCCAGCGGACAGGGAATACACCCATTACTCCAGGATACATAGGCGATATGCGAGAATTGACTATATCTTCCTCCAACAAGAGCAACTTAACGCAATCCAGAGAGTTGAAATTGGACCTGCAAGCTGGTCGGACCACGGACCGGTGACTCTACAAATGGACTCTCCTTGGATACGCCCATCCACCTGGACGTGGAGGCTCCGAGACTCTCTACTCTTTGACCCAGCGGTGAGGGAACAGGTCACTGAGGAACTCACCTCTTACTTCACACTAAACGTAACGGGTGAACTACCGGCGACAACAGTATGGGAAGCCCACAAAAGTGTACTCAGGGGCACACTAAGGCACTTGGCTTCTAAAAAGAAAAAAGAATCCCAGAGACAGATGCAGGATCTATTGACACGCATAAATACCCTTGAACTGCAACACAAACGCTCCCTACTTGAAGAGACCTATAAGGAATTACTGGAAGCCCGAAGATCACTACAAGCGCACATAACGGCCCGACACTATAGCTCTTTACAGCGCTCGCGGGCCTTTTTCTATCAACATGCCAATAAGGGAGGGAAACTACTGGCCAGAATGATCAGAGGCCCCCAAGGTATGACCCAGGTCCATAAGATACGAACTGCAGATGGCACGGTAACGCAGTTTCCAGACAAGATAGCGGCGGAGTTCCGCTCGTTTTACACTTCGCTGTATAACATCCCGGGCCCGACACTCCCGGAGGAGACGGCTGTCAGATATGATAAGATACGGAGCTACATTGCATCCCATGTGGGGACACGACTACTCAGTGGGGAGTCGGAGAGCCTAGATACACCGATCACTGAAGCAGAAGTAGCGGGAGCCATCAAGGTCACCAAAACGGGCCGCGCACCGGGACCTGACGGCTTTACTCTAGATTACTATAAAAAATTTCAAGCCATACTTCTCCCGAAACTCAATGTGCTAGTGGACGGCGCCCAACTCCTTCATGAGTCCCTGGCGGCAACCATAACAGTCCTCCCGAAACCGGGGAAGGATCCCGAATTATGCAGCAGCTACAGACCAATCTCACTGCTGAATGTGGATGTGAAGCTTCTCACCAAGATTCTATCCACCAGAATTGGTGCAATACTACCGAAACTGGTCCATCCTGACCAGACGGGGTTCATCCCTGGGAGGGAGGCAAGGGACAGCACTCTTAGGGCACTGTCCATCCATCACCTAGCAAAACAGTCAAACAATAAACTCCTACTATTATCGACGGATGCGGAGAAAGCGTTTGACAGGGTGGACTGGACGTTCCTCATGGATCGGCGCGTTGTACCAATGCCCCAACGCAAAAGTGAAAGTGAACGGAGCGCTTACAGAGTCTTTCCCGATCTGCAATGGGACGAGACAGGGATGTCCGCTATCTCCCATGCTCTTCGCTCTGGTACTCGAACCGTTCCTAGAGGCAGTACGCACCTCGGATGAAATCCCGGGCTACAAAAGCGGTAATGTAGCACACAAAGTGGCGGCATATGCCGATGACCTTTTATTCTTTATCACGAGCCCGGAGACAACAATGCCCCATCTCATAGCTATGCTCAACACCTATGGCGAGGTCTCGGGGTTCAAATTGAATATGAGCAAATGCGAAGTACTTAATGTCACAGTCCCGACGACCCAAGCAGACGCACTAAAAAAACTATTCCTGTTCCGCTGGTGCACGAATCACATGCAATACCTGGGAATAGGCCTTACCAGCGACCTTGGAGACATGTACCGAACAAACTTCTTACCATCGCTGCAACGAACACAACAAGATCTGAAGAAATGGGCGTACCCCCATATCTCGTGGTTCGGTCGGATTGCAATTCTCAAGATGAATATACTACCACGGATATTATACCTCTACCAGACGATCCCACAAGCTCTGCCGACAGCATACTTCACATCACTCAGATCTGCGATGGTGAAGTTCGTCTGGAATGGGAAACAGGCAAGACTTCGCCAGGAGGTTCTCTGTTTACCACGAGCCTGGGGAGGTCTAGCGCTACCCGATAGGCGCAAATATCATCAAGCGACGGTATTACAACGGGTATTGGAGTGGCATACCCATCCAGAACATAAACAATGGATCGACCTGGATAAAAGCCATATTGGCCCCTCCTTCCTGACGTCGGTATGGAATTCAAGGAGACTACCACGGGTGTCACTTGAACCAAATTCTACAGTAGCACAGACACTGAAAGCGTGGGATACCATTCGAAGAGCCCCACATATATCTCAATCACCGAGCCCGATGATTCAAATACAACATAACCCTCAGATAGGAGGGGGACTGCCCTCAAAGTCGTGGACATTTCTTGGAGACGGGGAATCATTCCCCATCCATAGGGTACTAAACAACACAGGCATGACCCCTTTGAGGGAACTGCTGGCGGGCACCCAACCTACTAGCCTACTAACCCTCCGTTATATGCAACTCAAATCCTACTATCGTACACTCCCGAACAAGGAAGCCCTACATAGGGACCTATCGTGGTTCGAAACACTATGTGACCGCAAGACTACCCTGGATAAGACGATATCCACTCTATATCAACACATGCTAGTGGGACACCTCACCAACAATGATCAATTCCGCAGACGCTGGGAACATATGCTGGGCACATCCTTCACCACAGCCCAATGGGATAAGATCCTCATATTACACCATAAATGCTCGTCGAGCTCCCAATACCAAGAAACAAACTACAAACTCCTCTCATTCTGGTACAGAACACCTGATAGCCTACACAGGATCTTTCCAAATGTACCTGACACATGCTGGAGATGTGGAGAAGCACGAGGCACACCACTACACATATGGTGGGACTGCCCTCTCATTACGCCATTTTGGGACGAAATAAAACAGAAAACAGAGGACATCCTAGGGATAGAAGACGGACTTGACGCGGGGACAGCTCTCCTGCACTCCACACCTGATACTATAGGGACTTATCGGAAGAGCATTCGTAGACACCTGTTGAACGCTGCCAAAGCACTATTCCCACTATTCCAACAATAACACAATGGATGGAACGGGTGGAAGAGATATATAGTGCAGAATCAACACAGGCCGCTCTACTGGGTCTTGAGGATAAACATGTGGAGCGTTGGCGCCCATGGCTGATCTATATAGCGGATCGAAACGCGGACAGACATGAACCCCAGAGGACCCAAAGACTACCACACCCCCTCCTGGACGGAGAATGAGACCCGATACGATACCCGCGGTAACCACAGGCACAGGCAATGGGACCTCCTAACCCATCACACCCTCCCATACCCATCCCTTCTTCAACATCCCCCTTTATCCCCCCTCTATACTTTTCCTATTTCTCTACTATCTCAATTATCCAACGATGATACATAAACTGACAGAATAACTGATGCAGTACAACTCAACCTGAGGTTACCAACATATCCATTACATATTTATGCACAATAGTTTGTCTAGGGGCAAACACTCCAACCACAATATCTGGGAACATGAACGGGGTAAACATTTATACAAACAGTTACTGACCTCCAAAATGGGCTCAACAACCCCCAACATCTTACTGGGGCTGAGGCTTGCAGGAGATAAGGGGATAGCTAAGGTAATCATAAGGCTGACTCAATACAGACGTCGACCTTCCTAGGGAACAGAAAAAAAGGGACAGAGTATGTAGGGTGTTGAGATTAGTCAACTCCCCAGAACTCTGTAGAGGTTACAGAAGGTATAGGGGGCTTGACCCCTGCAAGTTATGAGAAAGAAAGAGGAATGAAATGGAAAACCACCAGAATCGAATATAAAGGTGGAAAACCTATTCATTCATGGATCTATACCTCCTAAAATGTAAGTGTACTATGTATAACGGGTTCTAAGACCTTTAATAGATAATGACATACATATTAAAACAGAGCTGGCTATAAAAATTGCCAGAAAAAAAACCCTAGGGGATATCAAGTGGGTGAAATAAATATTCACAAATACTAACTAGAATATATCCCAATTGAGAGTTCTATGAGATACCTGGTAAAGAGAACACTGTTGTACAAGAAAACAGAAAAAAGATAATGTCTGTACAAAGTAGTCTTAACCAGGACTCAGTATCAAAGCGAAGGGATGAGAAGGAGGGGGGTGGGGGGTAAAGATAGGGTTAAATAGAAAATATAGCCTGGTAAGTAATGATATCCCTACATGTGGTGAGACAGCTGCAAATACATACACAATATGCTATCAATAGGCAAAAGGCAAAAAGGAGTGGTGTAAATGCTAGGCTAATTGCCAGAGATATTGCCAGGAACATAAAAACGTCCCACTCATGTCCCACTCATATGTTCTTACAAAAGAAAATGGCAGTAAGAGACAAGGTAGGACTGGCAACTTTTGGTCTCACACAAATTAGTGTCACTTTTTGCACATGAAACTTACAGATCACTGTTTGCATGGTCCGAATCATGTTAGATATATGGGTTAGGTGGACTATATTTATGATAGATTTTCTTGTAGTCATGCATTGTGGCATTATCTATATCTGCAACCTCCATTAGCATAACCTGTGCAGCACGAGCGTGTGCAGCACGCTGCTCTGAGTATACCAAAGAGATACAGACTCTGTATTACACAACTTAGTTCCTTCCAATAACCACATGTATGTATGATCAATATATTGAGTACTGTCTCATCCCACCTTGCTGCCACTTCCAAGCACCTCCAAGGGCACTACGAGTGCACAGTGTGGCAGTCTAGTCAGCCCCAGATGCTGTAGTATCCTGTGTTATGTGCCAATAGCAATCCATGTCTGGAGAACCAGACAAGCACAAACCCTACATCTACACAAGCATTTCAAACTTGTGGCCCGGGCCGCATGGGGCTCACATTGAATATATTTGCGGCCCGCCTGCCCTGGGGCCGCTCTGTTTCTTGGCTGTGACCAGCAAGAAAGGAAAGATATTTCCTGTCTGCTTCTTGTCTTCCCTCCCTCGGCCACAAGAGAGCAGAGTGCCTGTCTTTCTGCAGAGCAGGCCAGTCACTCCCCCTTCCCTCCTGTTCGCAGTGCTAGAGGGGCTTGGGGGACCTTCCTGTGCAGTGTGTTAAATTGGGGTGGGGCAGTTCATTAATTTGAGAAAGGGAGTAGGCCAGTGTATTAAATTGATGAGGGGGGCAGTGTATTAGAGTGGTGGGAAGACAGGGTATTAATTTGAGAGAGGGCATGTATTCAATTTGGGGCAATGAGGCGGCAGTGTGTTAAATTGGGGAAAGGGGTCAGTGTATTTGAGTGGTGGGAGGGGAGACTGAGTGTTAAATTGGTGGGAGGGCAGTGTATTATATTAGTGGAGGGAGAAGGGTATTCGATTATTCAATTAGAAAGGAGGAGGAGGGGCAGTGTATTAGATTGGGTGGAGGGTGCACTGTATTAGAGTGGAGGAAGGGGGGCAGTGCATTGGATTTGGGGGCAATGTATTGGATTTGTGGCCAGTGTATTAGGGGGGAGAGGGCAGTGTATTATATTGGGTCTGCATGGAGGTGCTGAACGCTCCCTATGGAGATGCTGATTGGCTGCACAGCCTTTTCTTATGAAAAGCATTGGAAGTAAAGAACACACTCCCAGGACTTCAAAATCAACAAGATAAAGTCATTTGTTTTTTATAGCTGTGCAACAACATACATTCACCATTTCAGTCCCATCACCAAACATTTTTTAATATGTCAAGGTAGTTGGACTGAAACATTGGTTATATGCAAATGCACGTCTCCTTAAAAAAAATTTGTTCTTTTGTTTATTTTGAAGCCCTACGAGCGGGAGGATGTCCAGTGTCTGTTAGGCACTTTTTTATACTGTACCTTTCTAAATAAACCTACGTTTCTATGAAAACTAAAGTTTTCATTTATTTGCGCCCCATGTAAACTTAAACCTTGTTTATTTGGCCTGTGCTAACCTTTGAGTTTGACATGCATGATCTACACAGTGTTGAGATAGCAAAGTCCCTGCACAATTCCTACCTGATCAGAGGGTTACATAAAGTGTATACCAGGTACTCCAAAGATATCATGAGATACAATATGTTTTAATGAATGGTCAAAATCAAACTTCTGAGTAAGTAATAAATCTCAAAAAATATCATATATAATTTTCATTAGTTATTGTGTGTCAAATTGAATAGCAATTTAGAGTACTGAGAGAGGGATAGAGAGGACGGGTAGTTACTTAGCCAAATGTGAAGTAAAAAAAGTTTTAGGAGTTAAAAACAACTAACAAAATTTACTGAGAATCTGTTTTCATTTAATGCATGTATTTTGAAAATGTAAAGATAAATACATTAAATTGCACCATATATGTGTTGTTACTTTCATAAACTGAAGAGTTTATTTACTAAACACCAAATTAAAATGACTCAAAATCTGAATCGCATTAATTTCAGTAATAATTGTTGATTTGATAAAAAAATCTCATCTAGATTATATCCACAACTTGGCTATATGTTGTCATTCGGGTTTCAATTCACTAAAGCTCAGTTTATTTAATAAGCCCATATGGCAGCTGAGATGTTACCCATTCATTTACAAATCATTCTATGTACACCAACAAAGTGCTCTACCTGTTTACTATGAGTCTTTAATTGTTGAGTGGTTTCTTTCCAGTCTGCTGTTTTTTTTCTAAAAACAAATTATTCTAAACAAAAAAATAATTTACCTCCATGCTACAACCATAATTCTTAGCTAGAGCTAGCATATGCATAACATATACCACCCAAAACTCTGATCACTGCTAAACCCACTTTCAAGATTTGTCTACTTCTGTCTGAAAGTATTTTTCAGCCCTTATTACATCTCTTTGCTCTTGTAATAAAAAAAATACATATTTAGTATCGGCTTACCTTTTAATGTATTTGATCGATCACTCCATGTTATATTTAAAGGCGTTAAAAAGAAATCATACATTCTACAGCTTCTAGCATAAGTTTCTTGACTGATTGTAAGACAAACTTTGCCCTTGAAGCCCAAAACGTTAGTTAATAAATAACATCCATACAGAATTACTCAAGACAGAAGTAAACAAATCTTACTACCTTAGATAAATTGCATATCTTACATTTCCTCTCTTATATTGTGAGCACCTGATCTAAATGAAATACTCTGGTCACCAACACAGCTTAAAGACAACTCCGCGAATCATCAGCTTCATCTCAATGAACTTGTTCTGGTGGCGGGAGGTTCTGGGTGCCCTGCTAGCCTTTGAGGTTAACCTGTTTTTTGGATGGTTCAACCATTCAATGCTTTGAACAACATCTGTCCTCCTGGCCCCTCTGCCCCTTCTCTAGCTCTGACTTTAATGTAGAAGACTTTCAGTGGGATGTCGGTGATAGGCAGAGAGTGGGTTATCTTTCTGCAGGCACATAGTGTTGTTATTAAAGGGACACTATAGGCACACAGAGCATTTCAGCTCATTGAAGTGGCATGGGTGCGTATTCCCAGGTCCCTTAACCCAGAAAAGGTAATTATTGCAGTTTTTTTAAATAAACTGCAATACATAGCTTTGTGGGTTAACTCCACCTCTTGACAGCCACTAAAGAGACTTCCAGGACGCTATGCATAAGGACATCCAACATCACTCAAAACCCCATTGGGAAGCATTGTATAATGCTTTCCTATGGAAAAGTCATATGAAAGTTCTAATGTGAGCAATGTCATTGCCGCGCATGGGCATTAGGTCTCTGATGTTGACATGGGAGGAAATAAAGCAGAGGCTGATCCAGGTAAGTGACATTAGTGTTTTTTAAACTTTCTTCATTAAGGGGTCGGGCTTGACATAGGGGGGGACTATAGGGAGCTAAAGTGGCAGAAAAACAACTGGAAGGTCAGGAATCCGTGGAAGTGATTAAAGACCATAAAACCACACATCACAATATAAACAAGAAACAGAGAAGTGTAATAAAAATTTTGGCAAAGTCATTATGAATTATACAGACTATGCCGAAGATCTGAAAACACAGCTTAGGGATACAGATACGTACAGTTTGATGGAGAGAGACCCTACATGGGACATATTAAATAAAACAGAGGAGACCCTAACATTGGGACTAAAAGTGGGCTTTATTGACCTTCCTCTATACCAATATTTGTACAAGCAACACCCTAGGACACCTATCATCTACAGCATCCCTAAGATCCACACAGATCCATTATACCCCCTGGGATGACCTATGTATTAACTATAGGAGGGGCAATGACTGGACTTCCTTTTTAAATGACCCATTGAACATTTGCCTACATGTATAAGAGGCACAGCAACACTCATTGAGAGGATTCAACAATTGACATTCGATGGATATACACTGTGATGACCGCCTGGCACCCCGACTGGGTACCTCCAT